CAACTACTGCAATAGTCTCGAGCTACCTCTCAGCCCTCAATTGAGCCACTTCAAATGTGCGGTGGAACCATGACAAGTACAACCCCTGCGTAGAAACCAAGAAACGATTTCTCATAGTGCCTCACGGAAGCACTGGTTCTTCTCGAACAACACGCAACATGATCATTGCAGAGTAACAAAGGGGGGAAAAAAACTAAATACTACGGCAAATTAGCGGTCCATTCTGTAATAAGCGCTACCACCTCAAGAATTTTGGCAATATGGACAAAAGAAATCGCTGTAGCTTCTCGTGAAAAGTACCTGCTAATTCCCGGCGCTCGCGGCCCAAAGCACAAACGATAGAGGCCCTTCAGCCCGTCCAGCGACATGCCCTCCAAAATCTCCGATAGCCCAAGACCATCCTCGTTCTCCCGGACACGCTCCATCAGTTTCTGGCCATCGGCAGCCTGTGCATCTCCGCTACGCGGGGCATGTCCACGAGCAGGCACCACGATGATGTTGGACTTGCGGTTTTGGGGGCAAAAAGTCAGCGGCGTGTTTTGTGAGAACTGCAGCCGCATTCCGAACACCATCGGCGACAGCATGCTGATGACGAGCCAGATGGCATCAAGGTCCATGTCGATCACTTGCTTCATGCGCTGTTGCAGGTACTTCTCGATGCAGATGTTGACTGCCAGCTTGGCGCAGCCGTCAAAACTCGAAAGGAGCGGAAAAAAACCGTCGATGAAGCTGAAGAACCCGTAAGGGTGGTCGGTGAGGGCTTCAAACGCCAGATACGCGTCAAGCAACAGCTTTTTCAAGTAGTTGTTGGTCAGCGCTCTGGCAGGAGAGAGCGGTACGCCGGGGACAGCAACAGGAACATGCCGGAAGGGGAGTGAGCTTCATTCCAGGCGTTGGGGGGTCACGCCCCTACGTATCAACGTCCATGCTGCACCGCGTAGTACCAACGCCCAGGGAACCAGTCCGCATCGTGATGCAAAAAACCAAAACAAAGTAATCTATTTGCATTTTCCACTCCGGTATTTAATTCGGTACTGCGATAAAGTAGGGCATGAACACCTTTCAAGAACGATCGCACGACGGTTGACCGTGCCACCTCGAGGGTGACATTCTTGAGAAAAATCGCTTGAGACACGCCGCAGCTGATGTGCATGTTGCCGGTACACATTAGCTTCCTCAACATAGTGTTGTTTTCCTGGCACGGAGGTACATGCCGCCTTACACGCAAGTACCGTGCGATTATAAATGACAAGTACTGTAGGCAAGAACAATGTACTACCGATGCTCACCAACCCTCTCTGCAACGAATTTGCACTCCACCCAGCTGATCAAACTACTTGTTGCACGATGCAGACCAACCGAGATACTACAGCAATATACCAAACATGTTAAAGCTATTTTTCCCTAACCCCTCCTTGTGCCTATCCTAAGATCCGCCCAAAGACTTCGTTGTCCTTTCCTACCGCGCGTTGGTTTGACTTGGCACGAGGGGTGCGGCAAAAAAAATGAGAAGAGATGCGGTGGGACCGGGCCCCGCAAAAACGAACGAAATGATTTGGAAAACACTCGCACCTCCGTGCGTACTGAAAGCGCTTTGCGGGTACCCTCATCCAACGTCCCCTGGGAGGGGGACACGAAATGCACTGGGAACGACTTAGATAACAACAGCCCTGAGGGAAAAGTGTGCTCGATGACTCGTTGAAACAATATCGTACTTTGATCCCCGAGGAAACCCGGAATAAGGTTGTCGTACATTCGATTTCGAGGTCAAAATGTGGGGGATAAATACAGTGGCTACGACCTACCGCCTTGGCATTGCGACACCTGCACGTTTGAAGATGGTGCGTTTGATTTAAGATAGACTAGAAGTGTTTCGGGGCTGGAGGTCGAAGGGACTATTATTTTTTTCCTAGCCTGATCATGGGGAACTACTCCCCGAGACGGGTGTTTCCCTTGCAGTTTTAGGTAAACACCCCCCCGTGACACATTGGATCGTACCGTGCTACAAGCGGAAGGCAAAGAACAACAAACAGTGGATGACGATGATTTTCACAGTCACCTCTTGGCCAGCTTGTTCCGGGCCATCCATATCAGGTTGTCGGCCAAAGGACGGAGGAGATTGTCGAATGCGTGGCTGATTGCCGTACCACTGAGCACCGCCCGCCTCGTCGCGTCCATGTGGGACAGATGGACGAGTAGAGTCTCTCCGAAAACGAAATAGCCGTGCTCTTGCCAGTCATCACCGGT